GACAGAAGGGAGGCTGCTGCGTGCTGGGATTTCTAGGGAGAGCGTACGAGGAACCATGAAGAGGCCTGACCCGAACAAATGGAAATGACTGAAACATGTGAAGAAAAAGTAGCTTTCTGAGGCCGGGCGTGGTGGCTCACACCTGTAATCCCAGCACTTTGGGAGGCCAAGGTGGGCGGATCACGTGGGGTCTGCAGGTTGAGACCAGCCTGGCCAACATGGTGAAACCCTATCTTTAAAAAAAAAAAAAAAGTAGCTTTCAGGAAGGTGGAAATTACACAAGCAAAGGCACAAAGTCAGCAAAGTGTGGGGTACACAGGAGGAAAAGAGAGTTATCCACTCTGGATAAAACAAGGGCGCGTGAAGAAGATTAATGTCCATGACTCACATTTACCAGACTCGACGGATATTCTCTCCTTCCCTGCAACCTGTGCAACTAGGTCAGAATATTCCCCCCGGCTCCCCCATCTCACAGATGAAGAACCTGAAACTCAGGGAGGAGAAACAACTCTGGCTGTAAATTAACAGAGGACAATTTCAAAACCAGGCCTCTTTGACTATAAGACTCAAGTCCTTTCCTCCTCTACCATCAAAAGAAGTATAAAAAGAAGGCATCTCTGCAAACAGAGGTAGAAATATTCCAGAGACCATGTACAAATATTTATCAGAGTTCACAGCAGCACTCTCGTGGATGTCATTTTTAGGCATTTCCAAAGTTTCACACTGTACCTGTGACTGTGTTTAATAGCTCCCTCTCATTATGTCCAAGACCCTGTCACCATCTCAGCATTGAGAGCCTTTCGAAACCTAGGTACTGACACTGCATTAACCTTTACCTGCACCAACCAGTCCCCGTTCCTGGAAGGCCCTGCCCAATCTCTCCTTCAGGCTAATTCTTAGTCATTATTAGCGGTCAGCTCAGCTTGCACCAGTCATAGTGGCCTCAATGTAAATGTTTATTGAATTATAGAATGTACCCATGTTCTTTCTCTACCATCCTGGGGGGAAAAAAAAAAGTTTACCAAAGTCCTATTAACTTTAGAAAGAAGCCCAGGAGGCTCACTCTTCAATTACTTTTTATTCAATTATTATTCAACGCTCACATTAGGGTCTGACCTGCTTTTCCCACCACACAGCTCAGGATGGTGGCCAGATGCCACCCTCCTACAACCTAAGGGAATGCCATAGAGCCTTCAAAGCCCAGTTCAAATCCAATATTTAAAAAACAAATTTCCAGGCCGGGCGCGGTGGCTCAAGCCTGTAATCCCAGCACTGTGGGAGGCCGAGGTGGGTGGATCACGAGGTCAAGAGATCGAGACCATCCTGGTCAACATGGTGAAACCCCGTCTCTACTAAAAATACAAAAAATTAGCTGGGCATGGTGGTGCGTGCCTGTAATCCCAGCGACTCAGGAGGCTGCGGCAGGAGAATTGCCTGAACCCGGGAGACGGAGGTTGCGGTGAGCCGAGATCGCGCCATTGCACTCCAGCCTGGGTAACAAGAGCGAAACTCTGTCTCAAAAAAAAAAAAAAAAATTTCCTGGTTCATTGAATGCATCCCTCTTGTAAACTCCCCAGGTGCACACTCGTCTCTTTCCCCATACTCCCTAGCACTGGGTAGTTTACCTTTCAGTGAGAGGATGGTCTCCCTCCCCTCCTGGGTGGGGAGCTCCTCGTGGGATAGTTCTCATATCTGGGGCCTATCCAGAACCAAATGCAGGGCATGTGGCAGGCACTGAGAAAACACAGCAGCAGGACTCTCGGTGCTGGAAGCAGGCTGTGAAAAGTCAAATCCTTCAGAGCCTCACCAATGCCTTATCCACAGACTTTTACCCCAAGTATATTTTACAATGACAGAATCCTGAAATTCTATGACAGAATCTTCCAAACAAATTCACATCTTGGAAACCCTGACGAATTAGAATCCCAGAGGCATTGCGATGGCCAGTCACATCTTCTACTTGATAGTCTCCCACCAAGAGGTACCACGGTCCCTGCCTGAACACCTCCAGCAACTGGAAATCTTATACCAACTGATACAGTCCACTCCATTTCTGACATCCCCTGCCATGGGTCCTTACGCACTCGTTCAGTCTATCTCTGTGGGCTTTTTCGTTAAATCCCTAGGAGCGGCAAGTTAGAAGGCAGAAGCGTAGAACCAGCTAGGGAAGCAGCGTATGAGAATCCAGGTCACGGACTTTAAAATCAAGCGGAACTGGGTTCACATCCCAGCTTGCCACTTGTAGGAGGTCACAAAACCTCCCCAGTGCTTCCCTTAGTCCCACCCCTCCCATGGCTGTTATAGGATTAAGGGAAATGATGTAGGCAAAGTGCCTGGCCCAGTGAGCACTAGGTAAATGGCAGCTCTCATGTTCATTAGTTCTGTTCTGGTTTCCCATTCCAGTTTACCACATAACCAGAGCGCTGATCCCACCCTTGGCCTCTACATGAAGTCTCTATGCCCTTCCATAGGATGTCTTTGCAAAGCCTCAGCTGATGTCTCATTCTCTTTGTCACTGGCTGGGCACAACTAGAAGCTAGAAGTTGACCAGGGTTTCCATTACAGTGTCTGACACAGAGGGGACAGTGAAAAATGACCAGAACAAAGCTTCTTTCACTCCTGCCTCTAAGGGCTGTCCGTGACTCTGCAAAGGTAAAGGAAGACCCCAGATACCAAAGCAGCTGCCTGAGTCACTTAAAGCAGTTGCCATTGATGCTCTTCAGTGCCTCGAGCCTCTTTAATCAGCCCCAAAAGCAGACACCAGGAAGGCAGGCAAAGGTGGAAAGGGAACAGAAAAGATCCTGCAGGACTTAGTGTATGTTTTCTACACTCCCAGCTGCCCAATGAGGCTCAGAGATCTGAGGATAAGAGTTCAACCTCTTCATCCAGTTCCACTTCCACCCCAACCCTGCAGGTCAGAAACAGCTCGGGTAAACGTGAAGGGCGTCCTCAGGCAGACAGTACAAAATCTACGTCCGGCCTTGCTATTGAATGCATGTGACCTTGGGATGCTCACTGACCTGTTTGGGCCTCACTTTTCTCATCTGCACAATTAATACTGGCCTAGACCACTAGTTCTTAACCGGCAGTGTGCAATGGAAACACAGAGGGAATTTTCTCTAAGTACTCTTGGCCCGGTCTAGCTAGTCGGATTCCAGACTGGAGTAAGAGCTGGGCATGTGTGTGTATATACATATATATAATGGATATATATATAGGCCTGTGTGTGTGTGTGTGTGTGTGTGTGTATATACACACGTGTGTGTGTGTATATATACAAATATATGGATATATATAGGCTTGTGTGTGTGTATTTATATATATAGACACACACAGATATATGCACATATATATTTATATATGTACATATATTATATACACACACATATATACATGTACCTATATATTATACTTCTTCTTTTAATTCTTTAGCTGGTTAAAAAAAAATCACTGGACTTGAAGATCCCTATATTGTCTCCAGCCAACACCATCATGTCTCACCCTCGGAAGAATGTGCATAAAGAGCTGGGCATAGAACTGGGCACACAGCAGGTGCGAATTAAATATTTGCTCCCTTCACTACCGCAACTACTCCCAGCCAAAAGCAATGGCAGCCATGTAGATCTCAATAGGCAAGATGGCATCTGGTGCTATAGGGGAAACAAATTGTGTCAGTCAATTAAGGAATACCCATGGTCTATTCACAGAAGTTCCCACCAATGAAAAGAATGAGGTAGGGATGACAATAAATAAGGATGTGATGAATAAAGCAGAGATGAGCTCTAGAATAATGCTTCTCAAACTTTCAGGAACATCTAAAGACACAACTCTGGGGTGAGGCTGAGAGTCTCCATTGGTAACAAGTACTAAATGATACCGATGCTGCTGGCCCAAGGAGAAAACCTGGAGTTGCAATCTAAATGCAGGCATTGTGAAAGGATGAACTTGCAGCCTAAGGCAATCTTTCCACACAGATTTGCTGAGCATCTATTAAGCACCACTCAGGAAATGTGCTGAAGCTGGAAAGACAAAGAGCAGTAAGACTGAAGAAAGAGACATCTCAGCAAACACTCGCAATAAAATGTGCCTTAAATTCTGTATCAGAGACCTGGCCAAAATGCTGTGGGCATCCCAGCAGAAGGCCAGTGATTATATCTGCATTGCCTAGGGCAGAAAACTGTGAGAAACCGTGATGAAGTAGTTAACATTGTGAAAGAGAACAATTACAAAATAGTATGTACAGGGCCAGGGGCAGTGGCGTGCACCTACAGTCCCAGCTACTTGGCAGGAGAACTGACTGAGCCCAGGATTTCCAAGGCTGCAGTGAACTATGATCATACCACTGTGCTGCAGCCTGAGCAACAGAGTGACCCTGTCTCTAAAAAGGAATCAATTAATTTTTAAATTAATTAAATAAGTTTTTTAAAATTGCTTTAAAAGTACGTACAGGATTATTCCACTTTTGAGGCTGGAAGCGGGGTGGCAAACTGGTATTCATACAGCTTAGTACGTAGAAATAATTTTTATATAGTTAAAAGGATCTTGAAGCAGCAGCAGAAACAAGAGGAGGAGACAAGAAACCACGTGTGGCCTGCGAAGCCTGAAATATTTACTAACTAGTCCTTCACAGAAAATGGCAACCTATAGAGTAGAAAGGTGGATACACAGATCTAATTATGTAGCAAATTTCACACTGATTGTTGCAAATGATTGCAGGCGGTTTTTATTTTCTTCTACTTTTTCTATTTTTCTATTTTTTTTTTTTTTTTTAAGATGGAGTCTTGCTCTCTTGCCAGGCTGGAGTGCAGTGGTGTGATCTCAGCTCACTGCAACCTCTGCCTCCTGGGTTCAAGCAATTCTCCTGTCTCAGCCTCCCCAGTAGCTGGAATTACAGGCATGTGCCACCATGCCCAGCTAATTTTTGTATTAGTAGAGACAGGGTTTCACCATATTGGCCAGGTTGGTCTTGAACTCCTGACCTCGTGAACCGCCTGCCTCAGTCTCCCAAAATGCTGGGATTACAGGTGTGAGCCACTGCGCCTGGCCTACTTTCTTCTTTATGCTTTTCCATGTTTCTGTCTTTCTCCAAAGACAACATGTTCTTTCTGAAACTAAGGGTGAAGAAGTTATTGTCCTTTGTGCAAGGTAGTTCACATTCTAATAATCTACCTTAGAAAATGAAATCATAGGTGCAGGTAAAGAATTTTGTAAGAAGGATGTTGACCACAGTGCTATTTATAACAATGAAAAATTACAATTATGGTATATTCTTAAGATGAAATCATATACAGCCATTCAAAATTACATGTACAAACAATTCTTAATGCCATAAGAAACTGCTTATGTTCTATTGTTAGGTGAAGTGGCAAGATATGAAAATGTTTATGTAGTAATATTTAGTCAGTAAAATGCAAATGCACATAAAATCACGAAAAGCACTACTAAAGAAAGAATATCAGACACATAAACAATGCATGTGTCTAAATAGTGATTTATGAGTGATGCTCATTTTCTTTATACGGTTCCATATTTTTGAAATGTGTTATTACGAGTAGGTCCTACGCTTATAACAGAAACATACCACAGATAGTAAGTTGGGGTTTATTTTTGCCTTCAAGTTTTCTTGAGGAAATATAAGGAGGTTCAAGAAGGAGGAAACAGCTATGCTACACTTCGAGGGATAAGTGAACAGTCTCCAGATAGAAACAAAGGGGAAGGGCCCTCAGGCCATCGGGGCAGCATGTGCTGCAAGAGAGTGAGACCAGGGACACACTCAGAGTAGCAATGGCTGCCTCTGGCTGTCCCCTGCCAGGCATGCTCATGGCTCTGTGACGCACTCATAGAGTATGCCTGGCAGGGGACAGCCAGAGCAAACCCTGGAAACAGAGGCAAGGTCAGATGATAGCAAGTGCACAGCGCGAGAGATTCTACCCATGGGCTACAGGAGTGAGAAGACAAGAGGCCAGCTGGGAAGCCGAAGGACAAATGCCTTCCCAGACGCCTTTAACAAAAGGAGAGTCAGGGAGCACAGAAGCCCGCACCAGGAAGGGCAGGAAGATAGTTAAGTGTCTTACGCTCATTGCCACTTGCAAAACAGTTCTCCTTAATTTTCTTCAAACAAGGCTATGCATATAATGGTATTCAGAAACGAAATTTATTAGTAAACCAAATCAGTATATTCTTATTGGCTAAGCATCACTAAGGAGCCATTCTGACTTCCTCCTAAAAGTGGAAACAACCAATGATCCCCCATCTTGCTTCACAAGTAATTTCTGACCTGTCAGGCACAGATGCCACACAAAAGACAACAAGGACTGAAGGAGTTACTGTCTGTCAAATGGACCCAAGGCAGGATGAAGCTGAGTGGAAGAGGAGGAAGAATAAGAAAGGATCACTTGGGGTGGGGGGGGGAAGGGAAGATGCTGCATGCTAACTGCTGGTCTCACTGACTCAGGATGCCCGTTTCTCACAGCCAGAGGCCACAATTTTGGGGGAGACAAGAGACTGCAGAGAGGCTGTGCTGAAGCTCACTCCATGTCTGGATTCCTGGCAGGGTAAGAAACAGAGTTCTAGTAAACCAGAAGGAATGCTGCTGGCAGGAGACAGACCTCTCAAGAGGGCTTTAAATGGAAATACGAGAGCGAGAGAGGAACTGTAAGTGCAGCAAATGCACTGGGCAAACAAGTGTGTCGCAGATGTGGGCACCCCAGAAGGGGAGCAGCTCTGGAGTCACAGGGGAACCGAGGGAGAGGGCATCAGGTGGCCCTCCAAGCCCACAGGTGGCAATGGGAACAAGGCAGGAAATGAACTGGAGAGCTGAAGGCAGGGGCCTAGGACGTGGCCGCAGGGCTGTGATGGAGGGCTGCTCATCAGAGGCACAGGTCAGATAAAGAAGCTCCACTATGAAGACAGGAGGCAACGCAAGGTCACAACTGAGGATTCCATGCATGTCTTCAAGGTGGCAAACAAAAGCCTTGCAGGGCAGCATGCTTCTATGGTCATAGGGAATGGGGGGGGATACGTAGACCCCACATCAATGCTTTCAAAACCTCTCTCTGTGTGTCTCTCTCCCTCCCAATCTCTCGCGTGCTCTCTCTGTCTCTCTCTCTCTCTCTCTCTCTCTCTCTCTCTCTCTCTCTTTCTCCCTGGCCTAACATATCTGCATATGTTATGTTATAACAGAAGCGCCAATCTGCAACAATGATGCACTCTCTCAACCACCCTGCTACTAGGAACCTTCCTCCATATACACACAGATACCAGTATTACGATACTTCACCCCCTGCCCCAAGTTGGCTTTCATGTCTGTTTCCTCTGTGGATCACAACCTCCTAGACAGTCCAAACGTGGCTGTATTCACCTCTAGTCCCCAGTCCCTGGAACAGCAGACAATAAATATGGAATCAACAAGTGTCCCGATGGGCGCAGTGGCTCACACCTGTAATCCCAGCACTTTGGGAGGCCAAGGCAGGCAGATCACGAGGTCAGGAGATCGAGACCATCCTGACCAACATGGTGAAACCCCGTCTCTACTAAAAATACAAAAACATTAGCTGGGCATGGTGGTGCATGCCTGTAGTCCCAGATACTCAGGAGGCTGAGGCAGGAGAATTGCTTGAACCCAAAGGCAGAGATTGCAGTGAACCGAGATCGCACCACTGCACTATAGCCTGAACGATAGTGCGAGACTCCACCTCAAAAAAAAAAGGGGGGGGCAAGTTTCCTTGCTGCCACACAAATGGGCTGCGAAGCTCATTTTGCAAAGTGCAGAACATCTGATAGATTCTCACACTGACTAAACAACAGTGTGACCTGAAGTTAAGAGAACCATAAAGGTAAATGATTGCCAGAAGTTTAATCCAAACAAGGCAGACCAGTATGATGCAACGGGCAGAAGTCAAACATTGGGAGAATGAGAACGTATTCTCTTGAGCTGTGATGTGAACAAACAGAGATTCCAAATCTTAGAAAAGCAAACAGTCAGCAACCAGCATGGTGCTTACAGTAGTCCCTGGGCAACAGAAAAAAAGGAGATAAATGAAGACACATGGGCAATCACCCTAAGGGGGTCTCTGCAGGAGGGGGAGAACTAGGACTTCCAGAGGGAAATGAGGAGAAGCACGAGGAGGGGACTGGGAAAGACGCTTCCCTGTGGGCACATGGTGTCCTCCACTGGGGCCAGACTTCCCAGCATGCCTCACTCTCCCCATCTGTGAAATTGGCTGAATCCCTGACGTCTCTCCCAGCACTGACTATCAAGCAGCAGAGAACCTAGAAACACTGGGAGTTCCATCACAGCCTTGAATCCCCGTCTAAGTGAGACTGTGGGAGGCTCACCCTTCTTATACATGTAAACTGAGGGCACTGCCGTGTCAGCGTCATCAAAGCTCCCAAGTACACCTTTGCCAAAGTCTCTAAAGGAAAAGAGCATGCATGGAATTGGCCAGGACTTAGCACCATCTTAAACATGACACAACTGTGCACATGGTCACATCTTCCCAGCACTTCTCTAGTATAACAGGAAGTGCCTTCCTACAGACAAGCACTTTAACCCTTACTCCAGCCAGAATAGGTAACATCAGCATAATCACCATCATTACTCTCGTTTTATAGATGAGAGAGCTGAGGTTCACGTGAGACCGTATCTTCCTCTTCCCAAGGATCCCCCAACTCCTAGCCAGGCCTCTCCCGGCTCCTAAATCAATCATGAAGGACTACAGCAATCACATTCAGTACTTTTCTGATCTAGTCTCTTTGCCACTAAATAAAGGCAGAAATCAAGGTGGCAGGATCAATCCTGCAACCAAATCACTGTACTGTCTGCCATCCTCCCATGCCGGTCCAGGGAGCAAAACTGAAAATGTGCCTCAAGGCCACAATCCAAAACAGATGCCATCACCCTGGCCAGATTCTCCCACCATGCTCCAAGATTGGCATCCATCTCCCTTCAACCAGCCCTCCTTCCCAGGCCTGGGTCTGTCTGCTACCTTGCCATGAAAATGAGGACATCTCTACTGGACTGTAGGCAATCCCCTCACTGGGTTGGCCCACCCATTCAACCATCACTGGACCACCCCCCAGGCGAGCTATCCCTTCAGACATGGAGCCTCCTGCTGCCTAGCTCTTTCTACCAGGCCTCCTCCTCAAATCAATTCCACCGCAGCCCAAATCTTGCCATCTCCCAAGCAGATTTTCACTTCTTCCCAATTTCTATCCTTTCTCTAGCTCACTACTGCTTTTCTGTTGCTTAGGCTACGTCTACTTCAAATTACAGCTCTGAGAAGGCAGGTGACTTGTTCAAGACTACACAGCCATTCAGAGGCAAAGCTGGGGCTTGAACCCAGCTCTCCCAATTCTTAGCCTTGTGTTTTCCATTAAATCCCAGCTGTCTCTATCACACTGCTCAAGAAGCCACTGGTGCCTGAGAGGGTGCAGACCACATCTTATTCTCTTTAGCAACGACTATAACAAGGTCTATTATTCGTGGTGTGTACACTGAGGGCCAGGTACATGTTCAGTGACTTCCTGCAGCCCTAGGAGGGGTGAGTGTCTTTGTTTACAGATGACAAATGTTTTCAGACTACAGCACTGCTATGCCACTAGTCTAAATACAGTTCTGAACACACAGCAGTGGTCAGTAAATGTGAGTTAACCGATTTTTTTTTTAATTGGTTGAAGAGAGGCTAATGGAAAGCCCTGAAAAATAAGTTTGTGACCAGATCAGGCAAAGGGGGTAAGACTCAGCTATCATTCTGCAGTAGAACTAAAAATAATATTGTTCCAGAACAATCTCTCGTGGCGATGTGAAGCAGGCCATGAGTCGGGATGCCTGGTTTTGACTCTACCTGACCCGACAGACTGTGCGACTCTAGGCAAATCTTTTCTATTTCCAGGTCTTGTTTCCCCATCTTTATTTTTATTTTTATTTTTTGCAAAAGAAATAAAGCAAGAAATCACAGAAGCTGAACTAGATCATAGGTTCTCTTCAACATTGGTAGCACCTGTGAGCTTCTAAGAAATGTAAATTCAGGGGTCCCGCCCAATCTACAGCATCAGAACCTCAGGGACGGAGCCCAGTAAACTCTCCAGGATGACCCTAACGTTCCTTCAAATTTGAGAACCATCAGACTAGATGATCTCTATGATCCTTCCAGCTCCATCACTCTGAGAACCTCATGCTCTCTCAATTCAACAGCATCAAACTCCTCCCAATTTTGCCATTCTGATTTTGAGTTGGCATGAACTTAGGGTCAGCTGGCTCTCTCATCTGGTCATGTCTGACGCTCCCTCCTGTGATTAATAGAAAAGGCCCCAAGAAACAGACAGTATACTCCACTGCACTTCTTTTTTCCATTTACCACCTCAGTGGTATGCATTCTGTTACCATATTTTTTTAAAAAATCAACATGTACAAAAAAGCCCAACTATAAGCTTTGGGGCATCCTGGTAGTATCTTTTTAAATACTGGAAAGGGAGTGTACTCCTCAGTCAAGTCAGTAAGGAACTGCAGTAAAATCTGAAAAAATGGGGCCTTTCTGAGCCCAGTGATCTCTTCTTCGTATAAAGCCAGTTGAAAGAATAAGAGAGCATTTGCGTTCTATACCAGAAATACTTGTAGATTAACAAACCATTCCTTGCTTGGCCTTTACATATCAAAACAAACAAACAAATCCACATCAATGTTACAAGTATAAAAACACATCCCAATGTGTGAACTCTCAACAAATGGGCTCGTTACTGCTGAAACAGTGCCTGTGACTTAACTGTGGAATGAATTCTACTCTAGGTGCGGCATGGTGGCTCACACCTGTAATCCCAGCACTTTGGGAGGTCAAGGCAGGCGGCTCACTTGAGGTCAGGGGTTTCTCACCAGCCTTGGCAACATGGCAAAACACAATCTCTACTAAAAATACAAAGAAAACTAGTCAGGTGTGGTGGTGGGCACCTGTAATCCCAGCTGCTCAGAAGTCTGAGATAGGAGAATCTCCTGAACCCAGGAGGTAGAGTTGCAGTGAGTCAAGAACCCACCACTGCACATCAGCCTGAGTGACGGAACAAGAATCTGTCTCAAAAAATATAAAATAAAATAAAATTCTACTCTAAAGAAACTAAATCTGAGTCTAGCGTCAGCAATGTCAAACCTGTCCATTCATCCAACAAATGTTCACTATGTGTTTACCAACTTCCAGGCAGACAGGAATGTCCTAAAGAAGTAAAAAGTCGATCCAAGACGGCCGAATAGGAACAGCTCCGCAGTGTAGTTCCCAGCAAGAACTACACAGAGGGTGAGTGCCCACCGCATTTCCAAACAAATTTTCACTGCCCACAGACCAGGAGATTCCCGGGCCGAAAAGTGTCACAAGTTTTCAGCATGGCAGTTTCAGCCAGTGCTGACTTGGCACAAAGAAACTCACACAAATCTGGGAAGCCGTGACACAGTCACCCATTCAGCTGAAAGGGAGGGGGCAGAGACAGGGAGCCAGGCAAACTGGCTCAGCGGGTACCACCCCCACAAAACAAGCAATCTGAAATGCTCTGGCTTGAGAGTTTTGCAGCAAGCACAGCTGGATCCAGGACGGTCCAGCTCAGTGCAGGGAAAGGGCAAACACCACTACTGAGGCAGTCTGCCACTACCAAGGTAGATCACACAGCAGCTGGGCAGAGCCTGCAGCACCTTAGCAACACCTCTGTTGGCAGACTGTGACTAGACTACTCCGTGTGGGGCAGGGCATCTATGAAAAAAGGCCGCAGCACCACAGGAACTTATAAATAAAGCCAACCTTCCTAATACAGAGCACCTGGGAAAAGAGGTGGTTATGAGTTCCACTGCAGCAGACTTAAAAGTACCTGCCCAGCAGCTCTGCATGGAACAACGGAGCTCCCAGCACAGCACTTGAGCTCCTATAAGGGACAGACTGTCTCCTCAAGCAGCTCTCCAACCCCCATATACCCAAAGAGACACCTCATAAAGGAGAGCTCAGGCTGACATCTGGCAGGCATCCTTCTGGGACGAAGATAACAGAAGAAGAAACCAGCAGCAACCCTTACTGTTCTGCAGCCTCCATGGGTGATCCCCAGGCAAGCAGGGCCTGGAGTGGACCTCCAGCAGTCCTGTAGCAGAGGGGCCTGACTGCTAGAAGGAAAACTAAAAAACAGAAAGAAATAACTTCATCATCAACAAAAAGGACGTCCACTCAAAGACCCAATCCAAAAGTCACCAACTACAAAGACCTCAGGTAGATAAAGCCACTAAGATGGAAAGAACCCAGTGCAAAAAGGATGAAAACACCAGAAACCAGAACACCTCTCCTCCTCCAAAGGATCACAACTCCTCACAGCTAGGGATCAAAGATGGATGGAGAATGAATCTGATGAATTGACAGAAACAGGCTACAGAGGGTGGGTAATAAACTTCTCAGAGCTAAAAGAACATGTGCTAATCCAATGCAAAGAAACTAAGAACCTAGGAAAAAAGTTAGATGAGATGCCAACTA